TGAAAGTCCATTTGATAATTTATTTTAGCACTATCTATATTACTTTACTTTTACCTCCAACTTCCACTGAGTTATTCAATAAATATCAAGAAGTGCCTTATATCTTGCCGAAAAATCTTTTGCTTTTTCGCACATATGCCACAGATCACCTAACTGACCAGATGCAAAAGCTTATTTGCTTTGAAAAACACCACCGATCGTATAGTCAATTTCAATTTAGATCTATGATTTCACACATATCACTCTCCGACTTCGACACTCTATGGAGCTTGAGCTTTGCGGAAAATTGTTATAGAATCACACTTTATTCGGTTGTTTTTAAGAAAAAATATTTAGTTTTTCACGATGACCGACTTGAAATATTTATTTTCTATAAAATCAGCATATTATGACCCCCGTAATGATGTTAGTTTCAAAGGTATTCACACCTATTTTATCAACAAGCTATGTTACAAAACCTCAATTCCATTCCAACATTCAACAAGTAGGTGGAGTATAAGTGGTATATTATGTTGCACTTGAAAATACAATAATTACTTAACATTTTTGTAATTTTTTACAGAAAAGACTGAAAAAGGCTTCTGCTGATGACTAATGGAAACAAAACAAAATTAACATTGAATACTTACTAACAGCATTCATCACTGCCTGTAGAATTTGTAGAAATAGTGGCCATCAAAAACTATCGAATCTTATGATGGCTTCGCTAACAAAAACACCCCTTCACCCACATTATAATGCATTAGGTACTTAAATAGGTGCTTTTAATTTACTTTCATACATCCAATTCCATTAACAAGGATTTGTAGTTACCTAAACTTTCCCAATAATATAACAGTATATATCCTGTATCATAGATTTTTTTATTTATTATGGTTGTGGGGTATGAATAAAAGTTATGTTGATTTAGTCTTACATTATTATCGTATTACATAAACAGATATACCTATTATATTTAGTATCAAGGCTAGTTGGTACCTACTTATTTTATTCTTTGTACAATCTTTTTATCACTTAAAAATTTCTGCATGATTACCAATTCCAAATGAAACCAAGTCACAAACAGCTCACGTGGACAGTAATAGAAGAGTTCAAATTTGAATATTGGTAAGTTTCTTGAATAACTAGGTAGGTAAAAGTAGGTTTATGCTTATCAGAAAGTTGACTGTGTTAACAATTTGTCATCAATTAAATATTTTTCCAGAAATTATTCGAGTCGCCAAAATACATTGGAAATAGGTGTCATATAGGTGTTTTTATGAGGAGAATACTACTATTACTTTTCTATTAGAAATACCTATATATTCTTGCATAAGGTACTTTGAAATTTATGTATCGGTATACATAATTAAACAAAAGAAGTTGTAACGATTACTAAAAAAAAACATCTTCAATATTTAGCAGAATTATATCTTATGATTCTTTAGTAAATTCAATTAAGGCATAATTTACAATTTCGATAGAGATGTCTAGTTTACACAATCGATACCGAAGGAATTTGTTCATTTTACATCCCAGGTATATCCATATACGTTGGAAAAATATATAATAACGTTCACACTAATAAGTCAACTAATCATCATAAATAGATGAGTTGGAATCACTTCTACAACTGCTTCAATTGCCAAGTACGCATTAAATCCTATTTGAGTCACTATTTATCCCCATCACGTCCATGACTACCTACAATGTGACCGAGAAATGATTTAGTTCTCATCAGTTTTTCCCATCTATTTTACCAAATCTGAGTTTGAAATATACCTTTATCAATAACGTGAAGCTTTTCATGCGCTAACTTCGTAAAATTCCGGTCAAACTATTGTAGATATGCTTACAGGCGACAACACTCACGACATAACTTTAAATACAACTACGACTATAGCTTTCATATTGTTGCAAGTACCAAGTAATGAGGAAATTACAAAAAATACGGATTTTGTTTTTATTGTATAAAATATTCGAACTATGTACGCTGATAGTTCCTCGCCCTATAAATTTGATTTTCTTTTCAAATCTCTTTTTCGATTTTTAGATGCGTATGCAGCCTCCTGGGTCAGATGAACCTTATGAATCACAGAGGATGGCCCGATTCATCGATGTTGACAAAGAGTTTTACATAATGAAAATGGGTGATAAAAAAAGTACAAGAGTTAAAGTTAAAAAACATTTGAAGAACAGGCTTGGCTGACTAATATTTTCATGATTCGATATCGACTAAATTATAATACACTAACACAAAGTCTTGTTACCATATTTGATATAATTTTTGTAAATTTTTGTATAGTAATATCAATTCAATTTTCCTAAGATCCGTTTCAACTGATTATACCTACTACCTGTTTTTCAATGAATTGAAAGAGTCGTAACTACATTTCATGTTGCATCGTTGAGACATTCTTTATTTTTATGGCAACATTTGTTGTCATTTAAATTGAGTTTTTCTACGGCTGGTACACAAAAATATCATTTCTCAACTGATTTCGATAAAACATTGCTTACAATTTGACATTCCATGAGCAATGAGATTTTTTTTAAATAATAACACAATGAAATCATTGTGATATCAGATACGGAAATAAAATTGATGACATAGAATACCTCATTGATGTATGGAACACAGTAAAACTAGAGCAATTTTGTGTTATAGCCGTAAAAAAATTACATTTCTTCACAAATATGACTTCATTGTGTTACAGTTCATTGTTGATTATTATACGATAAATCACGTCACCCACGGAATGTCAATGATGACTACTCTTCAGATGACAGCTCTCTGGTTTTGAATGACATTACATTTGAATTCCATGATATTTCTTCATTTTTCAAACTGATTGAATGACCACCAATTAATCAGAAAAACATGTTTTTCTGGGGTTAAAAAAGTGAAGATGATGCAGTGAAAATAAGAGATAGGGACGGCAGGGTCGGCCGGGCCGTACCAAATAATTTGGGGAAAATTACTGAACTATTTGATGAATAAAATTATTTTCCGAAACTGTTTTCATAATTCATCGTTCATTATCCTTCTGTTATGCCACTATTATTTGAATTTCATTCACTGGAACCTTTGAGTATGCCATCCGCATATACACTGAAAATCACGAACTAATTCAGGACCTACGACATCTGGTAATCCCATCGTCAAAACGCCGCTTTAAGTTGAAACGCTCGCGTAGCTCATTACACTGATGCAGACGGCCGGCCGATCGGTGGTTTCTTGTCTCGACGCATCGCCTACAGATTCCCCGCTTCAAGTTTGAATTCTCGCGTATACGCGAACGATAGGTACGCGTCATACCTTGGGTGCGGCCAAGCTCTGCTGGCCGTCCGTACGTTCGTAATCAGTAGTTTGCAGTGCGCTCGCTGTGCACCGTATCCGACCATTCCGACCTAATTTTTAATATACGGATTGGCATGATTGACATTCTATTTTCATTTTACATTGTAAGTATTTATGATTTTTATTCTAATACTTATTTGTAAGTTGATGTTGAAATTTGAAATGTGCAAACTGAAAAAAATAAAATAATTTCGAATGTTTTTGTTCACGCTTGCAGTAGTTGCAGTAAAAATGACTGGTGATTTTTGACTTTGCAATTTTTCAGTAATTCATAATTCAACATTTCCATCTAATATTGGTATCAGAATTTTCCTTCAGTGCTTCTGAGCGTCAATAAGTTATAATCCAATTTGAATATTGTAATGTAACCTACTGGGCCTCTGCCTATGTAGGTAAGTAATATGGCAAGAAAAATGTCAGCAGTCCAAGAGCTGAGTAGGTATTGAAACATCGTAAAAAAGCTCTGGTGACGAAAATGTAATGAATGTATAACTTCCAGAATATCATTTATTTTCAAAGACGCATGTAGCGGTTATAAATAATATTTATGCATCCATCGCGGGAAACATTATACCTATACGGCTGCACGGCGGGCTCGGCCAGCCGACTACGAAGGAGTGGGGTGGCTTGTTACAGGAACGGCGTAGACAGATTAGTCATTGTTGTGCTTTTCGCGTTAGGTGAGTGGTTGTCGGTTATGTTGATTTTTTTGAGTTTACGTTACGTTTCAAACAGAACATAAATATTTTTTGTTCACGAGTTATTTTATTTTCATTTTCTTTGATTTTATTTTTTCGACTTTCTTGTTATTATTTTTTCATACCAACTAACCCTTATCCATCTCCTTTTCCTTTCCCTATTTCCCCTGGCGAGAATGCTCTAACCTCGTGGTTCTTGCTGGACGATTTAATTTTTTTGGTTATGTGTACATGCTTATTTGCCATCGAACTTCACTTAAGCCGCTGACCCTACGTGTTACGTTCGCATTTCTCTCTTTCATTTTAATCCAAAAAATTAAGTTGACGAACTAGAGCAATATATATACCCTGGCCGACCCAGGTTCTGAGGGCACGAGCCGTCACTGAAAAAAATACATAAAAAACAGGGTGTTCCATTTGAAAAAGTCGATTTGTGGTTTGTTACGCTTTCAGGGATCACCCTGTAAAACTTCTGATAAAGGCTGTAGAAAGGCTTCATTGCGGCAATCAACTTCCGCATATCGTTTGTTTTTTCTCGGTAAAAAATAATGTGGGCTTTCTTTAGGGATAAGCCTGTTCAAATATCCCATACTTTACAATCACACCGTGTTTTGACCACTTCCTGAAACCTTCCATGGAAAGTTGAAAGATCTGAAATAGATTTAACAGGTCCGAGATACCTAATATGTCAATTGTTTCTTGGGTATAATAAAGATGATGATAAAAAAACTGACAATTTTACTCATTATTACACACCTATTTCAACAACCAATGAGATTTACCGCGATTTTTTCACTCTCATGATTCAGGATTGACATTGGATAAAAAAATTATCGCGTATGTAGTTACCCCCGATTAAAAAAACGAGTGTTTACAAGCTATGTCTATAGACACTTTTTTGTTCTATATTTTGATCAGTTTCTTCTAAGAAATGGAAAAGATGAAAACTGATGTGTGGATTCTCAAGATATCAGAAAAGATTTGATTTTTTTATGTTTGCAGCACATATCAAAAGAATTACATACGGACATTTTTTTCATGAAATTTGGTACACACATTTTAGGAATCGCTTTCAATCCAAAAATGCATTCAAATTTTTTGTAAAATAATCACTGAACTCCAATCCAGACAATCGGATATACAGGTTGCCAGTCAAGTTAAAACTATGAAACAGAAGACAAGTTAAATAAATGCTCCTAGTTTTAATTAAAAAAAAACAGGACAGATTTATAGATCGCATCTGACAACAAATTGTAACACAGTAGAAGATATATAACAAAATATATATTTTATAATAAAATGAGTCCTACAACTTAACAAATGCTTGAAACTTATTAGTCGATATTTTTTGGCGATATTCTGTCTGCTGCAAATTGTGACAATGTTAATATTGTTTTTCTATTTTTGCTTGGTATGGTTTCATAACTTTCATAGTCATTTTGACCTAAAAAATAATATAATCAACAAATGGTTTGAAAAAATATTACTTGCATTCAAAATATAAGTGAAAACAAAAAATATCAAGGATCATCAATTCTTACCAAATTTCATGCCATTTCATAATTTCCACAAACTCATAAAAACTATTTAACTAAATCGAAAGAATCAAAATAAAACTTCAAAATTGAGATTTTATTAGAGACGAAATATCTACATATAATAACAACCGTATCATAAAAAAAATGTAAATACATTGAAAAACTAAACTTAACAGTAAAAGTACCTTTCTACAATGAAGTTCTCATCTTTTTGAATATGCAGATCGAAAAATAAAAATTATTCCATTTTCAAAATTGTATTTGTATTGGAACAATTCTTATTTCTGTTACATTATATTCACTAGTCTTCAGTTCTTACTTTTCAGCTTATTTGATTGGTCGTCAAATTCTTTGTCGGAAATGTTCAACATCAAACTGTTTCCACTGAGATAAACCTTGTTTTGGGAATTGGCAATCTGAAAATGGATCAATTAGTTTATTGTATTTTGAATAATATGGATATTTCCTTACAGTTCGCGAAATATTCTGAGCTGCTCTAATTTTTCTGAGTTTCAAGTATCCTGGGTTTTCTCCAATTGCTTTACCTAAGTAAACTTCAATTAAGAAAAATAATGGGAACATGCCTTGAATACTGTGATTATGCTCAATGGATACTGGTGTAAAATGTTTCACTCCTGAACAATACTAATTATTATAACTACTCAGGTTCACAACTGTCTTTCAATCACCAACTATTTTGTAAAGCTTAATCACGTGCTTTGGTGAGTTCTTTAGCAATTTGTGACAATGATTTTGGCAAAACATGATTATGTTGGACAAGTGAGGAGACCAACTAGAACTAGGAACAAGAAACATCTAGCTCATTTGAAGTCTGGTACAGTATAGTTTAATATTTAAAATGTTGAACTACAACACATATTTAGAATTCGGAATTTGAAATATGTTTAGCAGTACTGAAAATCGAAATAATCATTAATGGTATTCCATTCAGTCTATACCTATACCATGTGTCCACGTTGAGGATTTTACCACTGCTGTGAAATCTAGTGGTAGATTGACTACCGCGACTGATAGTTCATAGTCGAAGGTAGCTAATTGTGTGTAATTGTTGTATTGAAAACTTCATCATTATGTGTTCACTCCATGTCAGTGTCAATTTTTATTACCAATTTTATTCAAATTACTTGGATCGTTCGATAGCAACAAACTTTTTCTGCCTAGGCAGAAAAAGAATACCTATCCTGTCTGTTTGTTAGGTGTCATAGAAAGGCCACTTTCTATGCCGTTCGGAGAAAAAATAGAACTTTTCCTACAACTGATCAACAAAATAGGCTTTGACGCTATCAAATCTCAACATTAAGTTGACATCTTCCATGAAACATCATTATTTGACAGCATTTGCTTTGTGAACATAAATGATGAAAAAAAGATCGCATCACTGCCATGAACCTATCTTGCAAATTGAAAGATACTATCAGTAAACTGTCAAACACAACTCCCGATTTTGTAGAAAGTGCAAAAGTTGTTAAGTTGTAACTTTGAATCTCCTATTATCCTACCGGATAAATCAAGGAAATTTTGTAAATTATAATAGTCATTCATAAATTGGTGCCACTGCTGCGTTTGTGGAAAAAATCTTGTGTGTATTTCGAGCACAAAATGTTATTGCCGCTCTCCAAAGATTAACGCACTTCAATTCAAGTCGTGCTGTAACTCTGTCGAACGGCAATCCATCACTTTGCGCTCTAGTTAAACAAATAGCTATTATCTTGATAATGGAAGGTGACTTGTTCCTCAGTCTGAACCATCGATAGACATTTTTAAACTTTGAGTTCTGCAGTAGGTACTGCTTCGAAGAACAATAATTATCAAACCAGAAAGTTATTTATTATACAAGGGACAAAAGTATTAGATTTTAGCTAGAGCTTGAATCTTATAGTTTTTCGTGTATAACACATTATTTTTTTCTGTGACAGGAAAAACGACGATTCAATATTGAGAAGATATTACATTATGATGAAATTAACGAAGTGAAATTTCAAGTTTTCAACTGGTAGACTGCAACAATTACACCTGTGTTGCCGACATCTTTTTGTAGGCATCTTCATTGTTGGGTTGGAAACCTTTAGAATTAATCGAATGTGTGTCAATTCAATTCTGTTTTATGATTTTACAAAATTGCAAACTTAGTGGTTTGACGCTAAAAGGACTTTCAGTCCTTTCTCGGAGAAAGAATAATTTATGGAAAGTGACATTTAGTAACCTGTCAACAGAGATAAAATGTCAAACTTTTTACCCGTCACAGAAATAATATGATTTTTCATAAGACGTCATATATTTGGAACGAATTCTAATATCAGCTGCTATTTGATTCAAAGTCATGACAGTGTCAAGAGAAAACTGATTATAATTTCAGAACTTAATCAAGGGTTCCATAGTCACAATAAAAATAAAAATAATTCTTATCCACCGTCCGCACTTTGAATGTTGGGTTATCCTTCATAACGAGATCAGAACCAAAATTGAAACAAATTATTTGAAAAGGATATCATTTCAGCAGCTTCAGCCTCTCCCTCAGCTTGCAGAATTTTTTGCTGCTTCTCCTGCACAGCCCTTTCCACCACAAAGGCGGCTCTTTGGGCTTCTTGCTGTGCCACTTGTTTAGATTCGACAGCGGCAGTATAATCTTTGCCGAAGGATAAATCGGTCAATGACACATCATCGAGAACTATGTTAAAGTCTTGGGCTCTTTCTACCAACTCTCTTCTCACCAATAGGGATACCTTTAAAGTTCATCATCAGTAACATAATGTCACAGTCAAAAAAGGTATTCCTAACATAGTTAACTGGTACACATCATTATCAAATTAAGTTGTAACATTGACAGGTTACCTAATTTTGGTAATCATTTCCACAAAATTACAAATATTTTGAAGTTTCATTGCTGAATTGCACATTTATTATTCAAAACTATGCATCTGTTGACGCATACTGACTGATTTATGGTTGACAATAATTGGTTCCATCTGTGAGTTTCTTTTTGTATTATGATGTACAAGTGCAACAATCACAGAAAATCCGACATAAAACAGAAGCTCCTCTAATCCATTTAAGGAAATTGAACTGGAGAACATGGTCATATCTTACTCATTCTCAATCATAGTTGATTTTTCTTGTTGAACTGAGTTCAAAACGATTTGAAATCAAGCATTTTCTTGTTCAAGTCACCAATTCATACGGATATTTCCGGTTCAGAAGCTTCAAATCGAGAGGTTAACCACCAAGTCCAATATATACAGTGTGTCCCAAATTCGATCCTCACCATTGGGATCTCAGTAACTATGAGAGATAGAGAAACGGTTAAATCAGCAAAGTTGTAGCAAATTTAATGTTGAATCATAATATATCGAGAAATCCGGGCTAGCTTCAGTCATTCTTGAGTTATTTGAGAAAAACTGAAATCTTGTATTTTTGTTTTTCTCGAATATCTCGGAACCTATTGATTTTATGAAAAAATGACTTCAACATTCTCATATCACTTTTTAGTGCTCTTTTCAATGGTTTTGTCAGTTTTCCGTCAAAATGTCAAATTTCTGAGATATCACCTACAACTTCAATTTTTCTTATGGACGCCATATTGGATTTTCACAGATTTGAAATCAGCATCAAATTTCCTTTCTAGTGATGTATCACACTTACAGTTTTATTCTATTTGGGGTACTGATTTCCAATGTTTGTTTTTATGTCCAGTAGGCTATGCGCTAAGCTCTCTATAAACATTAACGATAATGTGTTCTGGCACAACTTTCATAGAGTACATTACATTTCTGTAAACGTCAAGAAAAAATTCAAGTCAATTATTTCGGGGCAAACAATGCCGTTCACAAATCTCGAAAAATTTGATATGTACTATTGTTATATCAGAAATAATCGAAATAACAGAGAAACAGCTAGACAATACTTCCATTAATATCCAGAAAGACAACAACCGCATCATTCTATTTTTCTAACATTACAAAGAAATTTGCAAGAGCATGGAAGTTTCATTGCACCTAGGCCAAGGTATGGTTTGCGCTTGGATGAACAAGATATTGCAAATATCGAAGGAATCATCAATCAAACTCCTACCATTTCAATTCGAGAGCTTAGTCGGAGAACTCTTGTGCCGAAAACAACAATCCACAGACATTTAGTGAATGATAAGTACCACCCTTTCAAACCAGTGATAGTACAAGGGTTAAGACCTGGTGATAATGAACTGGTTCCATAACCAGTGTGAAAGAATTGAGAACTTTCCATTGAATATCTGCTGGACCGATGAAACGAGATTTCATAATAATGGAATTTACAATAAACATAATCATCATTACTGGGCACAAAATAATCCGCATGTCATCAGAGAATCAAAGTGGCAGAACAAATTTGGTTTCAATGTTTGGTGTGGGATATTTGGTACCTTACTAGAATTTTGGTCCATGAATAACTGTTTCTCATTGTGTATTTTTTTCAGGCAGTAGACTACTAGGTCCAATAATCTACGATTATAACTTGAATGGTCCACGTTATTTAGAGCTATTGAGAAATGAAAATTCGAATTTTATAGACGAGATACCACTTGCTGAATATGAGTTAATGTGGTTTCAGCAAGATGGTGCCCCACCGCACAATATGCGATTGGTTAGGGAATATCTCGAGAATCAATTTGGTGCTAAATTAATTACTACCCATGGACCTGTGAGATGGCCTCCAAGGTCGCCTGACTGTACGCCTCTCGATTTTTACCTGTGGGGCTACGCCAAAAATAAAATTTATGAAGATCCAATTCAAGATATTGATGATCTACGAGATAGGGTGATGGACACATTCCAGAACATCAACAGAGTTCATCTGAGAAAAGCAGCGAATCATGTTCGCTCGCGAATATTAAAATGTATCGAGAACAATGGGGGCCATTTCGAGCAGTTCAATTGATTTTTTTTTTCAGTATTTGCATCATTCAACTGTTATTAAATTTTTTTCTGCTATAATAGTACACACCCTATTCCATGCGATAAGTTATGCAAGAACATAGAACACAGAATTCATAGCCTACTTGACATAAAACCAAAAATTGGAAATCAGTACCCCGAATAAAACAAAACTGTGAGTGTGATACATCACTAGAAAGGAAATTTGATGCTGATTTCAAATCTGTCAAAATCCAATATGGCGTCCATAAGAAAAATTGAAGTTGTAGGTGATATCTCAGAAATTTGACATTTTGATGGAAAACTGACAAAACCATTGAAAAGAGCACTAAAAAGTGCTATGAGAATGTTGAAGTCATTTTTTCATAAAATCAATAGGTTCCGAGATATTCGAGAAAAACAAAAATACAAGATTTCAGTTTTTCTCAAATAACTCAAGAATGACTGAAGCTAGCCCGGATTTCTCGATAGATTATGATTCAACATTAAATTTGCTACAACTTTGCTAATTTAACCGTTTCTCTATCTCTCATAGTTACTGAGATCCCAATGGTGAGGATCGAATTTGGGACACACTGTATACACATGGTTTTCAATCCCGATGTAATCCGTCCAATCTTGGACCAATATTCCTAACCTCGCGATGCGATGTCCAATCCCGTATCTATAAAATCGGTCCAAACATGTCCAATCCGTGTACGTTCTTGAGAGAGTGGATTACACCTTGCTTCAAATTGAACGGTTGGAAACACGAAACCGAGTGGAGTGGGAAAACGTCGAAATTTCAGGGTATGAATGCCTCATCTATTGATTATCAATCAGTCCTGGTAAAAGATCAATAAAAAATTATCCATGTGATTCCATTACAATTCAGGTTATGCATAAGCAATCATTGATTCAAACAGCTTTCATTTCAAAATTGTATTTTGTATAATGAAATAAATTACTAGGTCACGATTGAATACGACTCAACAAGAAAAACCAACTCTTTTCAAAATACCAAGTGACATAAGTCAATGTCAATATGGATCCTTCTACCAAAGAGGAGAGGTGACTAACCTACTATTCTTTGCTTCTACACCTTGCTCAGATGCGTTTTTAGACGAGCAAATTGGATGAGATTGTCGGGTCTCGGCTCATAGCGGTCTTTACCGGATGATTCTCAAAAGTGGCTCACCCCTAAAACTTTTGTTTGTACAGATGAACAAATGAAATTCGATGTGTATGTATAGAAAATGAATATGCCTTTTTTGACGTATTCAATTGTTCACTTCAGGTTTGTCCGAAAATGACCCTTACTTTCTTATTTTAATAGTAAATCATGAGTTCCGAAGGTTTGAAGCATTCCCAAACCTCATCATCTCATTAGTCACAATGAATCACGTGGTACATTATGGATGCATGCACATTCACTCACAGAAAAAATATTCTTGAAAGCCTAAATTAGTTGGCCAATGAACACAGTGGGCTAACTATTTGACCAAACTCTGCCACAAGATGTGAAACCAGGTTAGGTTGATAAATCGATTTGAGGTTATGAATGTGCAATTCAGCAAGATACAGGGTGGTGAACTGTATCTGGATCACCTAGTTTTCCAAGTGCCTCAAGGTTACAACCAGAATTAGGAATATTGAGTAGGTAGTTAATCACCTGTTGCCTCTGAGTTATGAGTTGTGCTGCATTGAATTTGGCTACTACTGACTTGAGGACCTCATTACAAATTGATGGCAAAACTTTCTCATCATAATCCAAACCAAGTTGTCGATAAATTGCGGGAAGGTTGGTAGCATTGGGTCTGGAGAGAACTCTTAGTGAAATGTTAACCATCTGCAAGTCTTTTGATCCAGTTGGTGAAGATATCTTCCTAGGTCGTGAACTTAAAAATATGGTTACATAAGAAGATGATACATATGTTGCCTCTGACATAAATACCGAATATCATAGATTATTGGATACTGGAACCAAGGTATACGAAAATGCAGACCTTCAGTATAAATTTCTTGTTGAACTCCTCCAATTCGATTGAACATTATAGATCGATGACCAGCCTCCACTGGAAAAAAAATACAATCAATATTGCAATATTCAAAAATCAATTAATGTTTCTGGATTATGGATTTTACTATGTACTAAAAGCTGGCAACATGAGTTTCGCAGTCTGCCGGCACTTTAGCTCCCGGAAAACGGTCTGGCAATTGTCAAACTATATTTCTGTCGGCACATACTACAAGTACACGAATTTTTATGACTGTAGTAATGACGTTGATTACCTTCGAAATTCTGCAAGTCTCCCAGTTCGACCAGGCTGAATCGCGTCTTACTGTTCCACATCATAAATGAAACCATTACAGAAGAAAATTGTGCTTGTCTTGAGTCACGTAAACTATTTGAGATTTGACCAAATCAGAAGTTTTTGAATGATGAAATTCATGAAAATTGATACAAGAGTCTCACCATTTGGCAAGAACGTATTTACTGATAGAATGATTCTAGACATAATTGCCTACCTTCCAGACTCAAAATCAGCTGATTAGTTTTTGGATAAAGTACCGAAAAGGATTATTTTCTAAATTTCATTTCTCATCTTAGAGTCCACAGGATTTGGCAAAGAATTATTTTTTGATCGCATGATTCTAGACATAAAAATCTATCTACTGTAGAAGTTCATGTTGTCTCAAAGTGGAGTCAAGTAGTTTATATAGTACTAATACTCCAAGTCGTCTCTACAACGTTTAATATCATCAAATCATAAATGGAAAGGGGATCTATAGAGTATCCATCATCAGCCAATTGAGAAATTATTCTACAAAGAACAAAGCAATAATCATAGGGTATAATGGTAAAACATGGTAGTACTCACGTGGAGAATAAAAATTTTTGAAATCACATGAAAGACCTTCGACATGACATCCCATGAAAATTATGGGACCAATTGGCAAGGTGACGATTCCGATACGGCACCTGGTGGGCAAATTTGAACCAGTTTAGGACGTAATTCAAGGTCATGTTTGTTATTGTGTTCAGTGGGTTTCATATTTTATGAATACCATTCAACAAATTACGTTGATTTTCTCTTCTTTCGTCTCTTGAGTACAAGACATGAACTTTATATCAGTTGCCTAATCAATTCTATATTATTTTATAAATTAGTATCAACAAATCTCTGATAATACGTGAAATCAACTGTGTTTGGTTCCTGATGGTTGAACTAGTAGAAGGTTCCAATGGATAAATGTAGGACCTATAATATGTCCTCTAATATGAATTTCCTGCACTCAAGAAGTCTTTTCTGATAATGAAAAATCAGTTCAGTTGAATGGAAAAAATGGATAAACGTTGAGAATCCAATATGAGTTTGAAAACTGGATGTATGCAGTTCCAACAAAAACTTCCTACCTTTCTTCAATTCATTGGTCCAATAATGATAACAATAAGGTAAATTTGTGATTCATTGATAGGTATATTTATTACTGATGAATAACTCTTATTTGCAGTGCCTATCTGAGAGAGAACATGATTGAAATGATCAACAGTTCATACCATTTATGGGGAAATGTCTCCAGGACTTGGAAAAATAAGTATGGTTGTTTTTGTTTCAAATATTTTTATAAGAAAAATAAAGAAGCAAATTCAATTGCCTTTGACTTTTGAACTGCAATACACAAAGCTGGGCAAGAAAAAAGACATTATGAACATGTGCAGGTGGGTAATTTATTTGTAATGCTTGACTCATATAAAAATCTTGTTCATGACACCCTGCCTAGGCCTCCATAGATTCCTATTTTGTAGTATCATCTTTGTAGTAAAATAGACAATGCAGATTGCATGTACTTCCAAAATGATCAAGTTAAAATACAGCTCCCAATTACATTCATATCAGCAAAAACAGTAGCATATTTTATAGATATTAAATAACCCTGGTACAAGCAGGTCATTGTGGGTTGCTTACTTCATAGCTTGAATTCAATCTTTGAACATACATTGAACTGACACAATCTATTTCTATTAGAATATTTAGATTGTGTAATAGCTAATAGATATGGTTTGTTTATAGTAGGTACTAACATTTCTTCAATTTTTCAGCAGGGGAGGAGTTGCCATCCAGGGTATCTTGCAATTGAGTGCAAATAGTTACACAAATTGAAACCAAAAACCCAGATTCCTTGAAGTTGAATTCAAGTTTTTAAGGAGATATTACTGAATATTTGGGTACTTGAACATATATCCATGACATTTCAAATTGTATCTTGGAAAAATGTATCCATAATTTTACTCCTCCTATGTTATTATTAAACTTTATTTATTCATAAGTAAAAGTTCTACTTTTTTTCTTTTTGTAATGTTTTATTGTAGATTTTCAAAATTCATATTTAAATTCCACAACTACCTCAATCAACACCTCATTCTTTTTTGATGCAATTTCAAAGTTTCACTTTATAATCTTTACTGATTCCTTTTAAAATAGGTACCTACCAGGTAGATACTTACGTTTGCTCATTGTTAATTTATTACTACAACTATGAAAGTCCTGGATTTCAAATTAATTTATAATTGTAAATTTTTATGAAGGTATCTTGTAAAATCATTCAGGGAAAAACAGTATACATGAGCACTGAGGGAAGGAGTATACTGAAAGATCCTTCTATTTGTAGGATTGTAGGTACTTCTTTCTTGACTTCTTTGGAGTGGCATAAGTACAGTAAAACACATTATGTCAATGTACTTTCATTTTCGAAAATTATTATTATTTCAGTTCCAAAATATACAAAACATAATGAACTATACAGATTGAAATCCTAGGTCATTTTATCAATGTTTTATGTGGTGGAATTCCAAATTATTCAATGATTTCATCAATATGGTAAAAAAAACTAGCTTTACAAGATATTAAATGAATTCCAATAAGAAAACTCAGTCTAGGATGCCACCTACCTCAAGTATATTAGGAATATTTACATTATGAAAAGTGTGTTATATGGATATAATTCACACACATGGCACATATGCTGTTATTGCAGTGGAGCACCATAATATATGAGGTATGGGAGTTGCACTGTAAACAATCCTCTAAGCCTGGAAGTAATATTGTTGAAGATAGGCCATTGATAGTTGTATCTACTATTAAATCCACAGTAATGTCAGGATGCCTTTGGTGTTGAATTATTTCTTGGTTTAGACTCATTAGAGCTGGTTGCTGCTGATTTCTATTGAATGGATCAATTGCACATGATTCTGATGATAATATTTAGCACAAAATAGTCGAATAGGTTAACACATTGTTCACAGAAGGCTGTTCACTGTTGAAAAACTTCACTCCTGGTATCACCATTTGTGGTCTGTAGGATCCTTTTGCTTGAAGAGTGGAGTTATAGAGGTATGATGGTGAATATATCAGCTTCTGATGATAGTGTACATGCTTGTGATTTTTGATATCCCATAAAGCTGTCCCACAGAAATGCACTGGTTTGAAGAAAGCTCAGACTATTTGGTCCATGATCCAGTCAGTAGGTAACAGTAATTTTCCTCACATCACGATGAAACAGTATGATCCAACAAAAAATATTATGATTTCAGTAAAAAGTTCAACAATAAACACAAATAACACGATGAAATATCAAGAAGAAAATGTATGCAAATCTCAAGAAATTTTGTAAACAAACTACACACTCTTTGCCGCCATCTTGTTTTGAAACAGCGCCCCCAACGGTCGATCACCTTGCCAATTGTCTTGCAGCACCGTTGACAGCTGAAGTTACAGTTGTCTGTCAGAGATGGGTTTGACATTGACATTTGGTCACATCTTATCAGGTTAATCCAGAGATATCAAGATGAAAACGTTTTTTCGTTTTCGGATGTCGTTCGGCCTCCTAATGTGGCGATTCCACTGGCTTATTGGGGCGCAGGGCCCCTGTTTAGAAAACCTGTTGTAAAACGTATTTTCTCTATTTTACATTTTCATAAAATAATTTCGTAACTTCATGTGATTCCAATATTTTTTCTCCTCCACGTTAGACTACCATGTTTCACCATTGATACCCTATTATTGTTGCTTTGTTCTTTGTAGAATAATTTTAAACGTTGTGGTGGCGACTTTGAATATTATTACTATATGATAAAAAGAAAGAAAAATTATTAGGTACTTCTGTTTCACAGTTCGTGTCGTCGATGAATCAGATCCAAATTTATTTGCCTATCTTTAGCTGCTAAAATACCATCTCGAACAATTGGTGGAATTTTTATTTTTGTCTTGATATTGAAAAAATTCATAAAAACAATATACGACAATCGACGATCGTGAAACAGAATCCCCCTGCTGGTCGGTGGCAAATAATATGCCTAACATCAGCTTTCATTCACCAGCTGAAAGCGCATTTCCGACGCACCTACCACCATGTTCAGCAATGACTCGGGAATGAGCTGCCACCTCAAGAGTGAAGTTGAAAACACGTAAGAGATAACCTGACGCCAATTACAACGACGATCCACCAAAGAACCAGAGATCCTACTGAAATAAACTACTCAACACTAATTTCGTCGCACACCAAAATGTCGCCCCTGTTATAATGTGAATATCTTTTTTCAGTTTAGAACAATTTGAATTTGGTTCACACTGTTCGATAGCCCAGTTCTTCAGCTATAATCTGGTACTTCATTGAAACATGAGGGTATTCACATAAAATCTCTACATGGTGTTTTCCGACACTGTGCAAAATTTCGGAATATTCAAAAGGCTCTCAAATGGTGAAAAAAAATTTTTTCTCAACTTCGACAACAGAGGCATGAAGATGATCTCATTACCTCGAGATATTTCGCGAATCAACTTCCTATCTCTCTTATTTACAGAGTGATCTCAAAAAATCAACTTTTTGGTTTTGCAGCCATAACTTTTTTCCACGTCAACCGATTTTGGAAATCTTAGGCTCATTTTGAAGATTAAACTTCAGATGAAAAGATCTAAATATCAGAATTGACTCAAGATGGCTATCAAAGATCTACAGTTTTCTTGAAAGTGACCCAAATCTGGAACGCCCTCCGAATCTCGGTTGGGAGGAG